TCGTTCACCGATCCGGGACCCGATCGTCGTTTGGGTCACGTTTTAGGTGGTCACGATTTATTCTGCCCGTGACATTATAAAAAAAACTTGTCTGTGAAATGAGCTTCGGTGAAGACTGTCGGTAAAATGAACTAGTCGATGAATAATTGTCTGTGTCTATGAAGTGATTGTCGGTGAAACAATACGGACCCACGTGGGATGGCCCTTCGAGCCATCCCACGTGCTATGATCATCGGTAATCTCAACTATAATTTCTTCCCCCAGGAAATAAATAATACTAAAACTCACCTAACCATAACCAATACGGACTCTAATCTAACCCTAACCTTAAAGTGATTAAATTTTGTGATCGAACCTGGCTTTAACGGTTCCCTAAGTTAGGATAGGGTTAGGGTAAGAGTTAGAGTTTAATTTAGGCCAATCAATGTCGATCAGCTATGCTGGCCAAAAAAATCGACCTGAGACAAGCGTTAATCTGAGGCACATCATACATATATAATAAGATAGCTGTTGCGCTAGAAACCAGGAACGAGAAAATCAATAAAATACAAAATTTTGCGGAAATACTTAACCATACCCTTCGTGAAATTTTCATTATAAATATGTTATTTTTAAATAAATAATACCGATACTAAATGCCTATCGTTTCTCTTGATGTATGTTTTAAATATAATAGGAATGGAGTTGATCGTGAAATAGTTAAAGAACGAGCTGGTCTAATCCTAACGGTTTTAGATAATCATTTGGCGTAAAAAGAAATAATTGACTAAATAAATAATAGCGATAGCGTAAAACATCTAAATAATTTTTTACAGCTATTATAAATCCTAGAATGACCTAAAAATTTGCCAATGATCGAATCAATATGCTACTGAGTCGAATAATCGGAATCTCATTAATTTGAATTTATGCTAATAAGGCTTTTTAATGCTGCTTTACTTATTACCTTCATGCTTGATTAGGAAAATACAGGAAAATAAATCCCTAGCGCATCCACAAAAAATCCTTGTAATTTTGACTAATCGAATTCAATAACGGACGATAAAGATGAACGTTTTATCATTCTTTATAAGTCGCTATTTGCTAATTGAGTTGAATTCGAGCTTATTGCGTTTATGATCATAATGCCAAATAAAAACTATAATCATTAGTATCCGCACGATAAACTCCTTGTTATCCGAATATCTGTCGGAGTTAGCCACGGGTAAATAAAGCAGATATGGATCATCACTATAAACGAACTAGATACACATTCCGTAGAAATTATTTCGACATTGATTTTTGATATGAAACCGCTGAGGTATCTAGGCAGTTTCAAATCAAAAAACAATGCCCGAAATAGTTTCTACGACATGTATAGAACCAGAGTATCCAGTGGGGATGTTAAAAATTCTGTTTGGCCTTTTTCCATAAAATGGGGGATGTCTAAAGCAGAATTTTGATCTCGAGATGCTAAACAATTTTTATAACAATAACAATTATTGTACAATAAAAAAAAAAAAAGTCGTACAAAAGCATAGAAAAAGAAAAATCGTAAGAAAAAAAAAAAATTTTTACAAAAAAAATACAGAATAAAAAAAAAATTAATCAGAAAATAAAAAAATAAAAAGAGAGCCGTGATAATAAAATCTATCTTATGTAAACTGTTAACTTTGACTTTTTCACGTTGGAAATCCATGCATATATTTACATGCACACTTAGTTCTGAGCAATTGAAATTTTAATTAATTAATAATTAATAGACCACATTTTATTTTCACTATTTAACTCTTGTACTCCATTAATGAGTTTATCTTTTTCATTGTTATTAATTTCAATCCATCCATTTTTGAACATCCCATTTGGAAAATATTCTTTAATCTTACATTCAACGCCTATAATTTTTAAAGTATATTCTCTCCACCAAGTAGTTGCAGTTCTTCCAACAAATTGTAATTGAAACGAAGGCAACTTGCCAAGGTATCTATTTAAAATCAATAAATCCTATTAAATATTAAAATTATAAATTTGGATATTCGATCAATAAAATAACTTACCTAAATAATTGGCCAATCCCCACACCTTTGTTCATAATCAAATCTAGAACAAAACTATCGTGAATTATGACTTCACTTATAGCATTACAAACTACTTTACTTTCACATATAAGGTTGACTTCTCGATCATATTTTTGTAAAATTGGATTACTATGTTCAGAAGATTTCTGATGACAAATAGGAACACTGACATTTTTTATAAGTTGTACTATTACGGGTTTATTAAACCATGAACTATTTTAAAAATTGCTTGATTAGATAACATTTATTACATATCTTGAGCATTTAAATTTTATTATTAACAAACCTTAAAACCCTTTGTAAATTACCATTAGCAGTTAAACAAATCCTCTCTAAACCACTGAATTCGTTTGGTAATGATATATTAGTCTCTCTTAAAGACATTACATCCCCAAAGTTATTTGGAATTAAGTCTAACGAATTGTCTGTGTTTTCATTTTTCTCTTTACTATAGGAGTACTCTCTTTAATTAATATTCTTTAGACAGCATGCACATATTTAAATTGGCTAGACCAACTTTTATACTTACTTCCTAGTATATGACGGCAAACAAATTTTATATTCACATCTAATTAAGTATGCATAGATTAGTATGTGTAAATTCATAATATATCGAAATGAATTTTGTACTTACAGTTTATGATTTAATATGAAAAACGACGATAATGCAAGCAAATAACATAGATCTTATTTATACTTACTCCCTAATTAACATGGGAGCAAATAATTTAAAAATTAGATTTATTATTATTGACGAATCCCTAACAATGAACTCATACTTACGAACTATTAATTTAATGTTAGCATATGAATAGATTATAGAAATAATAATGTAAGTCAAAATTCAATAAATTAGAAATTCTTCACACAACATTTTATTCTATATTTATTGGGGCATTATTTTAAGACGCAAAATTTTAATGAGCACTAATAATTAATTTAACAGATTTTTAAAAATATAATGTCTCAATTAGTGTTCGGCACAATAACAAAAATTTGGAAATCAAATCAAACGACCGCAGGTCAACCAAAACTGAATATAGTATTGGTTGATCTGTGTCCGATTTAATCGCAAGTATTTGACTGTCAAATTTTTGTTTGATTTTGCCGAGCACTAGTCTCAATTCATTATTTTGTGCAAATACAGTAGAGCTTGAGTTGGGAAAAAATTTTTAAAATTTATGATTTAAGGCTTCCAGCACTACAGTATCTAATAATTTATAGCTGCTTTCAAAAAGGTGTAATCAGACACACACCATTATATTGTGGGAAATCGCTCAATTTCTGATTCTGTGAAAAGGGAAATTGTGCAGATTTCTCATGATACGTATAATGGAGCGCACCTGGTTACACCTTTTTGAAAACAGCTGTAAATAAATCTATATATATCCTTTAATCCTTAATAGTAGAATGAATAAAACTCATTAACTTACTTGCTATTCATTTCATTGATGCAAAATAATCTAAATATATCCTACAAGTTTTTAAAATTTAAGACGTTAAAGTCTTGTGATTAATTTATAATTAATGAACATATATTGATTATAGCAAAAAAAGACATAAATTGAAATAATATTTTAACAGAGTATCTGAAGTTTAAGGGCAAGTTATGGAATGTTGAGAAAATTTGCATCAATATAGATGATTTAATTTATACCTAGATAGGTCTTCAGTCGAGAAGTTTCAGAATAATAGTACGTAAGCTTAGCATTAAAATTTTTTTTCAAACCATTACATATAGAACATATTCATGTGCTAGTTATAAACACTAACACATATTGGGTAGCAAGTAGGCTCTAATCTGGTAATTGATCTGAACCGAAGCCGATAATGTCCGTTTAATATTAACCATTGTTTGTCACGCTAAACCAAGAATGGATCGATTTTAATTAATGTGAAGCAACTATAATTAAAACGTAATTTTAATCTATAATTATATGTAATATACAATTACGTCATAAAAATAATAAAAAATTCATTTTATAAAATTTTTTGTAAGCGAAACCCTTTTAATATGGATAAGCTTAAAAATATTACCAATCAAAATAAATTAATCCATAATAATAGTATTAATCAAGTGTTATACTCTTTATCCGAATCTATTAGGATTTCTCAACAGCCATCAAATAATACATCGATTTAAAGCAATGATGGTATTTGTAATAATCAGTCTGAAGAGGAGGCTTTCGCTTCAAGTTTACTTAAAAAAAGCGTTGTGGTGGATCTAAACCGGATCCAGTTTGGGAATAAGTTGACATTGGAAATTATTTAGGAGACATAACTAGACAATTAAAATAAAAAATTCTTACAAGTCCTTCATGTAAAACAAAAAATCCTATCGTAAAAGGTTCATCATGCTACAAAGTCAATTTAAAATATTCACACCCAACAAAATTCTTCGCTAAAAGTTCTTCGCGCAACAATCCTAAAATTCTTCCTAAAAGTTCTTCGCGCAACAATCCTAAAATTCTTCGCTCAACTAAGACAATTTAAAAATTCACTAACGTTAATTAAATGCCTTACACAACCAGATAAATTAATTCACATCGAATTAGTTTAAATATATCGTCATTTAACAGTAAATGCCTCTCATGTAAAATTATAAAGTTACGGCATATGAAAGTTGAGTTACGACACATAAAGTTCCGACTTGGTATAGCTATATTGGCATGGTGCAACAATACAGCATACATTTTACAAATTTAATATTGAAACGTTATAATGAGTTATAGCTTAGTTACGTTCGGCTTGTCACGATGCTTAAAGTTTATTGCATCACTACAGTACAAGGATCTTACGATCTTTCATTATAAATTCGACAAAAAACAAGAAGAAAAATACAAAACGAGAAACTTACTCACAAATCTAGGCAAAAGTCTGATAAAAGAATTTTATAAAAAAAAAAACTTTTTATTACCCAAATGCATCCTAAATTTTGTTTAAATACATCAATATTGCAATTGTAATTGCACTTCGCTATTGCAGTGTCTAAAATAAAAGTATCTTTATAAGAAAAAACGAATGTGAATTTCCTTTCCTGTATTTTCAAGTAAATTCTGAAAAAAAAAATAAAGCTTATTTTACAGCTATTATCATAATTTCTGGGACACTTGATAAAAATTGGCCGAATGATTTTTCGGCCGGTTTGATAAAGTTTATGAATTTGGCATGATCAATATAATAAAAACTATTTTTGTATTATAATGATTATTTACGATCTTTATATAACAATAAAAATGTCAACATATTGAATTTCAGTTCAAACCAACATGTTTAGTGTTTAATTTGTACGAAAATTTGGATTAAGTCTAATAGGTGACCCCTCACATTTGGCACTGGGATGTGACCAATCATTTGAAGTAACAAATAATATTTAATATATAAAATATATATAAAATATATAGTAAATGATTATTTGTCGGTTCTACCCTGAAATCCCGAAAGCCATTTTCCCGAAAGGACATAATACTGACTAAATTGGCCAGCATTATAACTAATGCTGGCTAACTTTGTCGATATTATGTCTTTTTCGGGAATCTGTCTTTCGGGATTTTAAAGTAGAACCCACACAGATACCTTATTGTTAATAAATGAACTCGATAAGTAAATGAGCGTGATAATTGAATCCTGGCCTCAAAATGAAACCTACCTGAAATAGTTTCAGGATTTTTTTTAAAAAAAAATAGAAACCTCGAAGTATAATCCGAAACCCAAAACTATAATTCAACACGAAAATATAATATTGGATCTTTAAATTTATATTTATTTTTAATATGTTTAATAAAATATTTCTATATAAATTAATAAATATATTAATTACAGTCTTTATTATTTCGAACTAGAGACCATAGTAGACAGGACCAGGACTGGACCAAAATAGACCAAGCTAAACCAGACCAGACTGTTAACATTCCTACACTCAGTAAGACATAGTAGGTCGAGTTATTCGCATCAGAATTATCATGACTTTTATCATGAGCTACAGTAAAAATTGCTATTCTGGTAACAATAAGTTGTAGTTAAAGTTGATTTTGATCACTTTAAATCTTTAGACTAATAATTTGATTTTTTTTTTTTTGAAAAAAAAAATTCAATAAAACTTTTCTTCAATCCATTGGGCCACTTTGAACCCAAAGTACTGAGTTATTGAATATAAGTTTTATTAAAAGGATTTGAATTTGACGATAGTTTGTGCCACCTGCTAATTCTGCTGGGCCATTTTGCTGCTTCCGGCTTTTGGCAGTTTTTTCTTTACTCATTTTGATAATAAATTTAGTTGAAACGACAAATTGACAAAAATTGACAAAATTCTTATATACTGTCCTTTATAAATATATTATCCACATCACCGCAACTACCAAAGGTGAAAAGTAAATATCAGATGATTCATTATTAAACTAAACTATGTTTTTACAATAATCATTATTAAACTAAGCTAAGTTTATACAATAATCATTATTAAACTAAGCTATGTTTTTACAATATCGACATTTAATTATAATTTGCAAGCTATAAAGGAGGGGGAGGTATTATGACGCACCTAAGAGTTGTTCATATAAAACTTTTCAGAAAAAATTTATTTGTTCTTAAAATTTGTAGAAATAGATTACTCAGGTAATTAACTATCTAC